GGGGGGGGGGGGGGGGGGGGGGGGGACACCACACGCACATCACAAATTTTAAGAACCTAAAGCATTTGATTCCAAAACCTATTTAAACATTTCCATTCGTTCTCTACTAGCAAAAAAATAAAATAAGTATCAATTTCAGTGAGTGTAATAGAATTTAACTCCAACTGAACAAGAAATTAAATTAAAATAAAATTAAGAACCGCACCAGAGTCTCCAAAAAAGAAATAAAGAGTAAAACTAAAGGCAGGAGAGTATAGGTTTAGGGATTTTGCCTTGTTGCGGACAGCGGTGGAGTTTGACGAAAGTGACGAGATAGTGGGAAGGAGAATCTTAGACAGTAAAGTTTCAAGCTTCGAGTCGTCGCATAAAGCCAGCCGAGTTAACATTCGATCCAGTAATTCCTCTGTTTCCGCATCTGATTTTACTACTGGTGACGAAGACGAAGACGACGATCCTGCCATTTGTTTCGCTTTGTGTTTTTCTTTCGTGACAAGCCAGGGACTTCACAAAAACAAACCGAAAGACAGGGAGATTGCAGTGTTTTGTGATGGGTAATAGGCGTCGTTTTGGGGAACGGAAAATTTTACCGTTAAGTCATTGGGCTGGGCTCTGGCATGGGGGCATTGGGCTATCAAACATTTTAGCCTATTTACGTTTTGGACTATTGGGCCAGCTTTTTTGGGTTTTCAACGAGGGAGTTGTCTAGCACAAAATGGGTCAGACCTCCCACGGAATTTAAACCGTTCAAGAATTCGGTCCTTCAACTACAACTTTTAGAATTGATCTCGAAGAACCAAATTTCATTTGAAATCAGGTCCTTCTTTTAACTTTCCACTGAAAAAAAATATACAATCACGTTAAACTCATTTGATTGGTAGAGAAATATAAGGACTAGAATGAACATATAATAATATTTAATTAGGGATGTGATTGAGTGTCTTAAAATTGAAGCTTAATAACCTATTTCATTCTTCAACTCTTCCACTTCAACAACCAACCACCAAGTGTTCTTGAACAATTATTAAACAATTTTTTTAAAAAAATTATTTGATTTTATATTTTAAAAATATTTTTTATTTAATTTTTTATTTAAAATTAATTTTTTATATTTTCAAATCATTTTAAAATGCTAATATAAAAAGGAAATTTTTAAAAAATAAAATATATTACTTTAATATATTTTTAAATAAAAATATTTTAAAAAACAATTACTGCTATATTCCAAACAACTTCTAAACTTAAAGTCTACAGGAGATGTAGCTCGTTTAACGTAATTTCTTCTCTGTTTTTTTATCATGGATGTTCTAAATTACTTTATGCGAATAGTTTTATTTATCCTTCCTGCTTGGTAAGCTAAACGGTGGGCAAAGCTTGAAAACATGGATCTTGTTAAATGAAAATGACACCATAATATATACACTAGAATGATAACATGCATCTTTAATTTTATGATGCTAAAAAAGCAAATATCTTATTAGTTACTTCATATGATTCAGCTTGAAAAATAGATTAACATAAAAAAGAGAAAAAAAAATCATGAGTGAATATATTTTTATCATATTTTATATATCATTAATTTTATTTAAAAAAATAATAACATACTATTAGTAGTTATTTCTTGAATACCACATTTTCATTTTAATATACTACAACTTGCCAAACTACTGCTTAATTAAAAAGAAAAAAAATCATTGCGTGACAAAACACAATAGCAGAAGGATTCTGCTTAAGTAAGTGAATAAATACTAGACTTAGTAAAATTGGTTAAAATTTAGTTTTTTTAAAATTAATTTTTTTATGTTTTCAAATTATTTTAATTATTAATATCCAAAATAAATTTAAAAAAATAAAAAAATAGTTTAAAAAAACAATCAGCCACCAGAAAAGCCATTTCATAATCGGACCAGGCCATAATTCCAAACAGTTTACAAGAGCATGGTTGACCAGGCACAAAAATGATCAAGTGAAGTGAGGGTAGCTACTGATTTTCTTTCTTTCCAAACAACAAACTGTACTTGAAATTGCATTTCACTCTCGTGGTTACCGAACCAGCCCTCTTGTGAACAAAGAATGGAAGAGAGAAATTAAGAGTATCAAATCCACCTGAAATAGGAAAAACTAAAGTAAAAAAGCAGAGGATAGCAGTAGCACGGGTGCAAACACCCCTGTTTAATCCCAGAACATGGGAATCTTCTCATTTTTATTTTTTTGATAGATATATTCTCATGTTAAATACACTTTAATTACCGATTAGCCCCAAAACCACATCTCGTTATTGTTAAACAAAGTTCGTCGCGGGGAAAGACTATTTGGTTTTTGCAAAAAAAACAATGTTCATATGTTAAAATAAGATAAAAAAAATTTTAAAAAACAATCCATCATAATAAACTTGCAACCACCATAATTAAAACCTAGTTTTCGTCGCGGGGAAAGACTATTTGGTTTTTCCAAAAAAATACAATGTTCATATGTCAAAATAAGATAAAAAAAAATTAAAAAACAATCTATCATGATAAACTTCCAACCACGATAATTAAAACCTAGTCAATCTAAAATATTTTGTTAAATCAATGACCAAAATCAATTTTAATTGAAAAGTAAAATTAAAAAAAATATTTTAATAAAAGGATGAAAAATCAAAAGAATGGGTCACAATTAACATGAAAAATAAAAATAATACTTTTGTTTGAAAGGTAAAATTAAAAAGAATAATAACTATTATAAAAGAACCAAGAAAAAAAATTAGAAATAAAGACAATGAGAACCAAATTAAAAAACATAATACCATCAATTTGAATTAAAAATAAAATTGAAAATCAGTAAAACTTAAAAAAAAAACAGGATAAAAAATTAGAAATCTAAATAATAAGGGTCAAAATAGAGAATATATTATTTGATAAATTAAGTTTGAATGGTGAAATTAAAAATAAATTTAACTTTTATAAAAGGGTTAGATAAAAAATTAAAAATATAAAAAATAAAAACTGAAGTTGAAATATTAATAATCAAAATGGTTAAATTATACATTTTAAGGGAGGATAGAGAAAACAATAGAAAATAGAAGTAAGGTCCACCAACGATAAATCAGACCACAATCAGATACATATATTGCACTAATATGAAAAGAATATGATAATACTTTTAACAACACGATAAAAGGATATTTATGAATGCCAAGAGATATCACATATGCCACCCAAATAGTGCAAAGGCCTCCCACGTGCCCTCGGATGCACCATACAAGCATTTCTTTTTTGTTTTTGTTTTCCTATAGACAAATACTAAAGTTTTCTTGAGTTAATTTTATAATTACAATAAACCATTATGAAAAGATTAAGAGGCCTTTAACTTCAAGTTTTAAACTTTTGCTTTTAAGGATATTTTTGTTGTTTTACTATGTATTTTAATTGTTTATTACTTTTTATATATAAAAAAAATATCAAATTATTTCTCAACTAATATTATAACAATGAAAAAAATATTGTGAAAATACAGAAATATCTTTTAATATTATATTTAATTTTTTTTGCTTTCAAAAATATCTTGATACCCTTGAAAGTCACTATTAAGTTACTATAACAAAAAAACCATATAAAAAAACCTATTATATTATTCCAGTAAATATAATGGTTAAACTTTAATACCCTTGAAAGTCACTATTAAGTTTTCTTATAGAGAAATAAAAGCTCATTATATTATTCCAGTAAATAGTAACAATAGGTATGGAGCTATCATTCTTACCAAGGTGGTTTTAGATTTTTAATGTATTAAAAAGCATCATATACTTTCTTTTATATATTTTTATTTTTTAGGGGAAAAAAAGAAGAAGATATGTTTTTAGTTCAAAAAGAAAGAAACATTTAAAAATATCAAAATAATATTTTTTTATATCAATATATCAAAATAATCTAAAAAAACCAAAAATATATTAATTTAAAATAAATAAATAAATTTAATTTTTTTAAAAACGGTTTAAAATACAAAATACAAATAGTACCTTAAACTAGTAATTACACTAGCGGGGGAAAGATACACATTCTTTTAGAAGAATGATATACATCTTAAATGCACCTAAAGTTAGTATAAAATACAAGTAATCATCAAATGATTAATTGCTATATATATAGAACAAAAAAAAAAAATTGTTTATATATATAAAATACAAGTAATCATCAAATGATTAATCATCAAAGATACACATTTTTTCTTCAAGTTGATATTTTTTTAAAAGAAAACATCTTTCTTTAGATCAAAAGAAAATAAATATTTAAACTAAGTATTACACTACCAAAAGAAAAAACATCTTTCTTTAGATAAAAAAATAAATAAATATTTAAACTAAGTATTACACTACCAAAAGAAAAATACATTTTTCTAGAACAGGGATGGACAATCATAAATGCACTTAAATTAAATTGTGTATAAACTACAAATAACCGCATGATTAGTTACTATATATAAACAAAGTTATATATCTTTTCTTTAAGTGCATATCTTTGTCTAGATTAAAAGGAAATAAACATTCAAATTAAGAATTATAATATTTGAGGAAAGATATATATTTTTATATAGCAAAGAAATAGAATCTTAAATGCACCCAAGGTTTTCTATAAACTAAAAGTACTAATCAGATGATTAGTTGCTATATGTATAAAACAGTTATGTATCTTTTTTCTCTAAGTTTATATCTTGCTAACCTGCTTAATATCTTAAACTCCTCGCTTACTGTTGTAATAAATATGCATGCGAGGAATCTATATAAATCCCAGAACAAGATAAACCTCTGTCCATGCATAATATCACCCCACTAGTTAATTAGCTGGTGACTCCACAGGTCAGGCGACTGTTTAAGCAAGCTCTTGTTTTAGGCACCACCCAGCAGGATGGACGTAGACCCAGTCCTCCCTGGGAAACTTACCTTGGCAGCTCTCTTATTCTTTATCAGCTACCAATTTACTGGTTCTTTCATCAGAAAATTGTTGCATCGATACCCCCCGGGACCTCGAGGTTGGCCGATCATAGGTGCAATTCCCCTCCTTGGAGACATGCCTCATGTCACATTAGCCAAAATGGCCAAGAAGTATGGTCCCGTCATGTACCTGAAAATGGGTACTCGTGACATGGTTGTGGCCTCCAACCCAGATGCAGCCCGAGCCTTCCTCAAAACCCTTGACCTAAATTTCTCAAACCGTCCCATAGATGGAGGTCCAACTCACTTAGCTTATAATGCACAAGACATGGTCTTCGCAGATTACGGACCAAGGTGGAAATTGTTGCGCAAATTAAGTAACCTGCACATGCTAGGTGGTAAAGCTCTAGAGGATGGGGCTCCTGTTCGAGTTACCGAGCTAGGTCACATGCTCCGAGCCATGTGCGAGGCTAGCCGAAAAGGAGATCCTGTGGTGGTGCCAGAAATGTTGACCTATGCAATGGCAAATATGATAGGACAAATTATACTTAGTCGTCGTGTGTTTGTTACAAAGGGCTCGGAGTCTAATGAGTTCAAGGATATGGTGGTGGAGCTAATGACAAGCGCGGGTTTTTTCAATATTGGAGATTTTATACCGTCTGTTGCTTGGATGGATTTGCAAGGAATTGAACGTGGGATGAAGAAATTACATAGAAGGTTTGATGTGTTATTGACGAAAATGATTGAGGATCATTCGGCAACCAGTCATGAACGCAAGGGAAAGCCGGATTTTCTTGACGTTCTAATGGCCAACCAAGAAAATTCGGATGGTGCGAGGCTTTGTCTTACCAACATTAAGGCTCTTCTCTTGGTATCTCCCTCTCCCTCTCCCTATCCCTCTCTCTCTCACACACACACGTGTGTGTGTTTATACAAGATACATCTTGCACGTTCATCATGCACAAATATGGACTCAATTATATGAAAAGACACTAAAAAAGGGTGAGTTCCAAAAGATGCACGCGGCTGGTTAATTATGTGTGCTTGGTATCGTGGAGGAGGGTGTTTTTAAGTGTATTTTTTTAATAAAATAAATCATTTTTTTTACAACCAGTTTCCAAGAATCAACCAGTTGCAATTTGGATCTTACAAATTTTTACCAGTCGAAAAAATAATAGGTTTTTATCTATCAGTTGTTGTTATTACAAATATTTAGCAACGGCAACCAGCTGTGGCTTGCAATTTTACCAACCGCAGTACTACAGCAGCACTTGCACATTCGTTTGCGTGCTCATTAATTACCAGCCGAGGCACTGGTTGCAAATCAATTATAATCTTTTTTAGTTACGATCAGGCAATTTTCAATTTTTTTCTCAGCCATAATGTCTTAATTATTTTTTTTCTGGCGAAATGGCCCAAACTTATCCTAAGCTTCTTCTTTCTTTTTTTCTGAGTGCTTCGAACTATTTTATTAATTTTAACTGCGAATGACAGTGAAGAACGTGCAGTAAAAATATGTGATTTGTAAAAAAAGTAAAAAATAAAATAAAATAACAAAGGGATGACAAAGGGATGGAAAACCTGGATGGAAAGACTTATTTTTTATTAAAAAATAATTTCTAGTACTCAAATAAAAATAAATAAAATTCATGATCTAAATCTAGTTTAACCTAGAATTCACAATAGTTTTGAATAATTTTATCTTTCTCTGTTTTGTGTTTTATTTTGGCTAGGACTTATTCACAGCTGGTACCGACACCTCCTCGAGCGTAATTGAATGGGCACTTGCCGAGATGTTGAAAAACCAGAGCATCCTTAAAAGGGCTCAAGAAGAGATGGATCAAGTCATCGGTCGGAATCGACGGCTAGTTGAATCTGACATACCAAAACTTCCATACCTGCAAGCCGTATGCAAAGAAACATTTCGAAAGCACCCATCAACGCCCCTAAACCTCCCCAGGATTGCAGACCAAGCATGCGAAGTGAATGGATATTATATCCCTAAAGGCGCTAGACTTAGTGTTAACATTTGGGCTATAGGGAGGGACCCAGATGTGTGGGACAATCCAGAGGTCTTTACTCCTGAGAGATTCTTTATTGAAAAATATTCAAAAATCAATCCACGGGGAAATGATTTTGAGCTAATTCCGTTTGGAGCAGGGAGAAGAATTTGCGCTGGGACTAGAATGGGAATTGTGCTGGTGGAGTACATTTTAGGCACGTTGGTGCACTCTTTTGATTGGAAATTGCCGAAGGATGTCGATCTCAACATGGACGAGGTCTTCGGCCTTGCATTGCAGAAGGCCGTCCCTCTCTCCGCTATGGTTAGCCCACGCCTAGAGCCTAATGCATATCTTGCCTAAGCTATTGCTTAAAGCTTAGGCATGTTGCTTTACGAGGTTTTTGTACGTTTGCGTGTTTCTCGCTTGGTGTCTTCAAGTTACTTGGTCGGGTGGTGGTTGTTCTGTGTTGTGTGTACGGAGCTCGGAAAGCCTAGGCCGTTTCCTAATTATCCGAATAAATATCGCTTGTTTCAAGTGTCGTGTCATGTATATACATATATTTTGGAATTGAATAAAATTGTCTTATGCGTCTCTTCTGTCTCCCCCTCTCGATTTGATCGATTACTTTCATCAATGACATGGTTCGGTTTTCATCACCTAAAAAACAACTTGCTGTATTTTTAGAATTATAAAGCTTGATTAAACATAAAGGACCTATTGGATTCTGTATTCTCCAACGGTTAAAAAAACAACAAGAGAAAACAGAAGAAATGTCATGGCGTAGCAAAAAAGAAAAGGATTTTATTATTAAAATAAATAAAGAGTTGATTTAAAAGTATAAAAATATTATTTTTAAGTTGCTTATTAATTATAATTAAAATGGTTCAAGTTTTTATAGTACAATCTATAATGAAAAGATTAAGTTTTTTTTAACAAATATTTTTTTGTTTAATTTAGTTTGTTAAAGTTAAATTTTTTTTATTTAGTTATTAAATTTTTATAATATGAATTCCGGGTTTGATATTTTTTATTTAGTTATTAAACTTTTATAATATGAATTCCGGATTTGATGGGTTAACACAATTTTTTTTAATTAATTTTTTATTTAATTTAATTTGTAAATATTAATTTTTTTTTATTTAGTTATCAAACTTTCATGACATGAATCTCGTATTTGACGGCTTAAACCAGTTAATTCTGGATTAACTGGTGAAATTTTTATTTTTATTCAATTATCAAACTTTCATTAAACGAATCCTAGATTTAATAGATTAACTTGGTTTGAAGAATTAATCCAGTTAAATTATATTTTTTTATTCATTAATTTTTTTCTTCGAGTAGGTTTTTTCTTTTAAATTAATCCTTTTTTTGTTTATTAGTTTTTTGCTTTTGCTTTTGCTTTTGCTTTTTTTTCTTTTTAATTATTTTTTTAATTTAGTTTGTTAATATTAATTTTTTTCTATTTAGTTATCAAACTTTCATGACACGGATTCTATATTTAATGGATTAATCTGATTTGACAAGTTAACCCAACTAATTCAGATTTTTTTCTTTTTCTTCACTATTTTTTTTCTTCTTGTCGTTTTTTTCTTTTTAATTAATCTTTTTATTTAATTTAGTTCATTAATAATAATTTTTTCTATTTAATTATCACACTCTCATGAAATGAATTTCAGGTTCGATGGGTTAACCTGATTTGGTATTAACCCAATTGATTCAGATTTTTTTTCTTTTTATTCATTAGCTTTTTTCTTCCAATTTTATCTTTTAATATTGTAATTAACCCACAATGAAAAAGCTTACCCTTTTTTTCTTTATTTTTTAATGAATATTTTTTGTTTAATTTAATTTGATAATGTTAATTTTATTTTATTTAGTTATCAAATTTTCATGACACGAATTCCGGGTTTGAATGATTAACTTGGATTTTTATTTCTGGTTGTTCTTTTTAATCTTTTTTTATTTAATTTAGTTTGTCAATGTTAAATTTTTTTCATTTAATTATAAAACTTTCATGACACGAATACCAAGTTTGATGGATTAACCTGGTTTGAAAGATTAACCTAGTTAATTCAGATTTTTTTCTTCTTTATTAGTTTCTTTCTTCATACAGGTTTTTTTTTCCTTTTTTTATTTTGAATTAATCTTTTTTTATTTAGAAGTTTTCTTTTTTTTTGCTCTTTTCTTTTTTTTTTCTTTTTAATTATTATTTTTTAAATTTATTTTGGTATTAAATTTTTTTCTATTTAGTTATCAAACTTTTATAACACAGATCTCAGGTTTGACAGGTTAACCTAGTTAATTCAAAAAAAAATTTCTTCATTGGTTTTTTTCTCCCTGTAGGTTTTTTTTCTTTGTTTTTTTCTTTTTAATTAATTTTTTTATTTAATTTAATTCATTAATATTATTTTTTTATTTAGTTATCACACTCACATGACACGAATTCTAGATTTGACGGATTAATCCGATTTGTCTGGTTAACCTAGTTGATTCATATTTTTTTTTTCTTCATTAGTTTTTTTCTTTCAATTTCATCTTTTAATGCTATAACAATAACTAAAATATATCAACATTTCACTATGGATTGCACTGTGCAAATCCATAGTAAAAGGCATATGCCTTTTAGTTATAGGTTTTTTTTATTACTTTTTTTTCTTTTTAATTAATGTTTTTTAATTTAGTTTGCTAATATTAATTTTTTTTATTTAATTACCATACTCTCATGACACGAACTCTAAGTTTGATGGATTAACTTGGTTTAGTGGATTAATCTAGTTGATTCAGATTTTTTTTATTTTTTTAATTAGTTTTTTTCTTCTAATGTCATTTGTTAATAGTAATTTGATTGAAAAATAAACTTCATGATTTGTTTTGTTTACTTTTCATTAAATTATCATAATTTCATGAGAAGATTTTATTGTACTCATGAATAGTGCTTTGCTTTTTTTTCCCCTTTCTCAATTAATCTTTGTCATGTTTAATTTTATTTTTTTAGTATTAATCTTTTTTTTATTTAGTTATCATACTTTCATGACACAATCTTACAGTTACAGATTGCACTGTGCAAATCCATAGTAAAAGGCATATGCCTTTTAGTTATAGGTTTTTTTTATTACTTTTTTTTCTTTTTAATTAATGTTTTTTAATTTAGTTTGCTAATATTAATTTTTTTTATTTAATTACCATACTCTCATGACACGAACTCTAAGTTTGATGGATTAACTTGGTTTAGTGGATTAATCTAGTTGATTCAGATTTTTTTTATTTTTTTAATTAGTTTTTTTCTTCTAATGTCATTTGTTAATAGTAATTTGATTGAAAAATAAACTTCATGATTTGTTTTGTTTACTTTTCATTAAATTATCGTAATTTCATGAGAGGATTTTATTGTACCCATGAATAGTGCTTTGCTTTTTTTTTCCCCTTTCTCAATTAATCTTTGTCATGTTTAATTTTATTTTTTTAGTATTAATCTTTTTTTATTCAGTTATCATATTTTCATGACACAATCTTACAGTTAGAGCCATAATCCAATGCTATTGGACTTGGCGTTGCAGGACTTAGCATTACAGCTAAATTCACATAATCTTAGATAATGCAAGTTTGATATTATAATTCATATTAAAAATATTATTATTTATATTATAAATATTATTATTTTTATTAAAATGAATATTTCTAATATAATAATTTGAAAATTTGAAAAAAAATATTATTAGTTATAGGTTTTTTCTTTTTAATTAATATTTTTTTTTTAATTTAGTTCATTAATATTAATTTTTTTATTTAGTAATCACACTCTTATAATATAGATCTCAAGTTTGACAGATTAACCTGATATGGGAGTTAAACTAGTTGATTAAGTTTTGTTTTGTTTACTTTTCATTAAATTATCATAATTTCATGAGAAGATTTTATTGTACTCATGAATAGTGCTTTGCTTTTTTTTCCCCTTTCTCAATTAATCTTTGTCATGTTTAATTTTATTTTTTTAGTATTAATCTTTTTTTATTCAGTTATCATATTTTCATGACACAATCTTACAGTTAGAGCCATAATCCAATGCTATTGGACTTGGCGTTGCAGGACTTAGCATTACAGCTAAATTCACATAATCTTAGATAATGCAAGTTTGATATTATAATTCATATTAAAAATATTATTATTTATATTATAAATATTATTATTTTTATTAAAATGAATATTTCTAATATAATAATTTGAAAATTTGAAAAAAAATATTATTAGTTATAGGTTTTTTCTTTTTAATTAATATTTTTTTTTAATTTAGTTCATTAATATTAATTTTTTTATTTAGTAATCACACTCTTATAATATAGATCCCAAGTTTGACAGATTAACCTGATTTGGGAGTTAAACTAGTTGATTAAGTTTTTTTTTCTTAAATAGTTTTTTCTTTCAATTTCATATTTTAATATCGATTTGATTAAAAATTAAACTTTATAATTTTTTTTTATATATGATTAAAAATTAAACTTTATGATTTTTTTTATATAGTTTATTATATTATTGTGATCTCATGAGGGGATTTTATTATACACCTCCTTGCAAAGCACTATTCATTAGAATAATGCTTTGTTTTATTATTTTTTCTTTTCAATTAATTTTTTTTATTTTATTCTGTAATATTGAATTTTTTTCCTTTTTAATTATCATATTTTTATAATACGACCTTGCAGACATATCTATATCCAAGGCTTGAGGTCTGATGTTACAGCCAAACCTACTTAAATTTGGATCATGCAAGTTTAATATTATAAATATAACTTTTGGGTTAGATGTTGCAGATAGACCCAATGCTCTTAGATGTAGCTTTCCAGAAAGACTTGACACTTTTAAATATTAACTTTTTTTTTAATATTTTTAAGCAAAAAAAATTGACCGCAGCATAGCACAAGCCATATTTTTAGTTTATTCTATATAAAAATAATATTTCTAGGATACAATTAAACTTTCTAAAACTCTAAAAGAATAAGAAGAGAATATAAAGGGAAAAATACATTTTCTTTTTGTATTTGTGTTCTTTGTGAAGTAACATGTTTATTAAACTTGAAATATTATAATGAATCATTATATTTGTTAATTTAATGACTGTTAATGAAATTATATAATTGTTAATGAAATGATTATATTTTAAGTTAAACTAAATAACTATTATTCTATTTTATTTCAATAGTCACAAGTATTAAAATTAATTATAAAAATTAAAAAATGAATTAATTTTACTGATATATTAAGTTTCAAGTACCCAGTGTCAAGTGTATTTTTTGATATTATAAATATCCATATAATAGCATTACGAAACCAACCAGCAAAGCCCAATCACAATGATTTTCACTTAATTTACTACATAATAGAAACAAAAACTTATAAATATTTAGGTGATAGTGCTTCTTTCCAACATAGGAAAGACATCTTTTCATTCTTTATTTATTTACAAACTACATCAACAATCTCCCACTAGTTTGTAATGAATGTTTTTTCACTTGATAGAATTATTCTTACAAGAAAATATTTTGTAATTTAAACTTTTAATTAGCATTAGAACTTGAATCCCACTAAAGTTATTACTGTTTGCAGGTTAAATCAAAACTTTTGTTATAAAATCAAATATACTACACACATAACACTATTTAAACTCTTAAAGAGGTATATAAATATTTAACACTACTTTGGCCATGTGCTAAAATCTCATTGTCATGAATATTTACTAGAAAAAACCTTAACTCTTGTTAAATACAACATCACTTCTATATTCATATAAGTGGAATTATACACATTTTTATTACATTAGGCACGAATTTTAGATTCCATTAAGAGGATATGTGTATTCTTCTTTACATAATAGAACACACTTAATACTATTTGAATAGGGTTTAAAATCAATTATCAATGTCCAACATACACTAAATAGTAACTTATTATTACCCATTAAACCTATAGATAATCTTATTGCTAATTCAAAGTGGGTTCCTATCACCGATATCTTTAACAACTAGTTTTAACCTCATTCCACTAGTTGTTTTCCTTACCATGTCTTTGTATAATTCTTTTATCAATGTATCTGCTAAATAACTCACAAACTTCACATGGACAATGATGATTACCCCATCTGTAATCAACTTTTGAATATATCCATGTTGGCTGCATATATGTCTTGACTTACCATTGTAAATGTTATTATAAGCTTCAGACATAGTTGCTTTACTATCACAATATAAATAAATATTTAATATAGATTGTGGTCACAACTTAATATCTAACAACATATTTCTTAGTCATCATGCTTCTTTACTTGTAATAGCTATAACAATAAATTCAAATTTCATGATAGAATAATATATATATATATATATATATATATATATATTATGAAATTTGAATTATATACATGTTTGTTTCTTAGATGCTCAAGATAATGCATCTCCTCTAAGTGAGAAAATTCATCATAATGTGGACTTATTATTATTCAAACTAATTGTCCATTTTGTATCATAATATCCCCCCAACATAACTAGAAAATCAGAATAAAACAAGCCCATATCATTCGTTATTTTTTGATAACCAAAGACATTTTCAATAGCCTTTCAATGATCCTTATTTAGCATACTTGTATATCTTGATAACTTGTATATAGCACAACATACATAAAATTTTTAATGAAACTAACATATTCTAATTGTGTTACTGTTTTATCACAATAATCATTTAACTTTATAATAGAATCAAATGGGGTATTAACCTTCTTTATATTAAGATGCTTAAACTTGTCAAGTATTTTGTCAATATAATGTGACTGATTAAAAATATAACAACTATTATGTTTCTTAAATTTTATACCTAAAAATGTATCCACTTCACAAAGATATTTCATTTTAAAGATAAAAAGTAAGTTACCTTTTGATTTTACCTATTCTACTCATATTGGAACCAAATATTAATATGTCATCTACATAAAGATAAATAATCATACTAAAATATTTTTCAAATTTGGAATATATAAACTTATTGGCACCATGTCTGATGGTTTTCATAACAATAATGCCGATAATTAATTTTGATATTTGTGACTGTAATGATAAAATTGAATAACAGCTATTCAATTTAATTTAAAATATAATTATTTCATTAATATTCATAATATTAACAGACATAATATTTCAAGTTTAACAAACATGTTACTAGATAGAAAATACATATGAAACAAAACTAACATATTTTATTTACTGTCTTTTATTCTAATTTTTTTAGAGGTTTAAATGATTTAGTTGTATCATGGAGATGTTATATCTCTGTGGAATAAATAAACATCTTAAAAACAATGTTTTCACACCTTTAATCCAACTCAATCCAACTCTTTATCAGTTTTTATAGTAAACAGTTTATTTACAAATATCATAATGTAGCTAAAAATAAAAGGATTGTATTCTCTAAAGAAAAAAAAAAAAAGATGGTCATGAGCTCTCACAGTTGCAGGTAGGGGTGTTCATTTTCGGTTCGGTTCGGTTTTTATCAAAAAAAGTAACCAAACCGGAAAAAAAAAATTTGAAAAAAAAAACCGAAACCGGGTCAACCCGACCGGTTTCGGTTTGGTTTTTTAAGGGGAAAACCAGTTCAAATTGGTTTGGCTTGGTTTTTCTGGTTTGGCTCGGTTTTGGCTCGGTTTTTTTTCCGATTTCAGTTCGGTTTTTCAGTTTTTTGGTTATAAAACCGAAACCGAACCGAACCGGCTGGGTTTTTCCAAATTTTAATCGGTTTAATCGGTTTTTTTTTTTCGGTTTTCTCGGTTTAATCGATTTTTCAGTTTTTTTGAACACCCCTAGTTGCAGGGACAGAACCAGGTCATAGTTAAAAGTGGCCAGGACAACCCAGAGTTAAAAAAATATTTCATTAGTCTTGAAAGTTGTTAAAGTAGTGTTTAACATTGAAACAACGGTTACTTTTTAAAATGATTGTCACTTAGAAATGTATGAAAATATTTTTTTATTTTTTAAAATTTATTTTTGATATCAGTATATTAAAATAATCAAAAAACATAAAAAAAAATATTTTGAAATTTTTTATCATGCTACATGTTGCTATCATTTTTCATGTTTGTACTAGAGTTTCAACAAATTTTGAGCTTTTTTGCTTCAATTGTTTTTTTGTGTTTCTGGATCATTTTGATATATTGATGTCAAAAATTAATTTTTTTTAAAAAATATTATTTTAATATATTTCCTAGTGAAAAGCATTTCAAAAAATTATCTCTACCATACTCTCAAACATACTTTTAGTAGATCGAGGATATAGTATTGTTGATTCACTTTGAGTTAATAAGAGGATACAACTTTTTTATATTATTAAAACTATACATGTGTGCAAAAAGATTGTAGAACTACTTCCATAAATATATATCAATCAACTTCATTAATATTTTGAATCATTAAAATCATGATGAGAGAATAATACACTACTCAAACTACAAGAGTTGTCGAGTTTTACTCTAAAAGATGAACAATAATGGCCTCTAAGTTTTTGCTAATTGATTATATTAATTTTTATCATTTATTTTTTTTGTTCATCTTCGTTGGAGACAAAGGGTTCCATATGGGTGGAAAAAAAAAAGATTGATTTTCAAAATATTTTTTACTTAGAAATATATCAAAACAATATATTTTTTTTTAAAAAATTATTTTTGATATCAGCACAATAAAACAATTCAAAAATACAATTTTTTTTTTTAAATTTCATGAAATAATGGATGTCACACAAAATGACTCAACCCATATAATTCTAATAAACATGGCTAGTCATATACAAACAAAAACATTATTAAACACAACCATGTAATTAACAACAACCAAATGAGTTCAAAACCATAATGAGATTTTAAAACATTTCTATCCATAATATAATCAAATAAATTATTCCAACATGATTTGAAAAAAAAACATTTTATTCCATCTTGAAAGTGAAATCTAATATCCTATGGATATTTATTAAATTTATAACTCAATATTAAATTTTGATTTAGGCTTTCACAATTAAAAAAAAAAAACTTCAGCCACCCCCTCCATATCAACAATAACTCCTCCCATATATTGAACACTATACATAAAAACAAATTGATGGCAAAACTATAACTACCTGATACCTAAAATATATATTATTTTATTTATATTTAATACATTTGCGTGCTTTTGTTTTAGATTGGATATGATTCAAATTCTATTTAAATATCATTAAAAACATGTTTTAATTATATAAAAAAATAATATTTATTTTGGAATTTGTCCAAATCCAAATAAAGATAATTTTTTACCTCACTCCATTCAAATTAGAGCGAACAAATATTTGGAGACCACTACACCCTCGCTAGTCATTTCAGTGGAGATTGGTCCAATAATAAACAAGTCCCAAGCATGGAAAAAGCCCTCCAAGCATAGCTTCTAAAATCTCAGCAGTCTTGCGAGATTGTTTTTTAAAATAATTTTTAGAAATATATTAAAATATAATTTTTTTGTTTTTTTAAATTTATTTTTAATATTAGCATATTAAAATGATAAAAAATATAAAAAAATTAATTTGAAATAAAAAATTTTAAAAATTAATTTTTTAAAAAATACTTTTAAAACTAAAATATATATGTACGCTATACAAGAATTTTATGGTAAGGAGAAAATGGAAAACATATATGCTACCGAAAGGACAATGAGTACCCCTAAAAACAACATCAAATTTGTAGTTAGCAAGTCGATAGCAATCACAGTCACTGGATATATTCCTAAACTGGACAAGAATAAATACAATATGAAAAAAAAATCGCACCCTTTACTTCCCTAAAGCTTAGTAATTAAACAATGGCTCATTTTTAGAAATGGGACAGACAATATTTCACACACCTCATTCCCGACCAAACAGTGTACATTCTGTAGCGTCCACAATGAGCTGCCACATTTCTCCAGGCAGCTTCTGCATACCCTACAGCTTTCCCTCCCACTAAAACGAAACGAAGATATATAGCCATTCTATTTTCCCTGCCATCCACCCCCTACAAACTCAAACAAATACATCATCACGCCGTTTCTTGGGATTGGCTTCAATGTTTCCTTTTCTCATCATTGCCACAAATTCATCGTAGTTGATCCGGCCATCCTGAGAAAGAATCCAGGAATTTGTCACCGCAAAGTGAAAAGGCAACACAGGACTAAAGTAATTATTGGTTTCTTTTTAATATGGTGCTTACATTATCTGCATCCACTTCAGAAATAATTTCCTTAATGTCCCTTCCATCATGCATGCCAAAGTCGCGCAGAGCTTGCTCTAGCTCTTCAGTTGTAATGTACCTAAATACATGCATGTATGGGTATGGTATTATGTATATATATAAATGAATATTTATCTTAGATTACTAAGGCTACAAAAGTACTGATGTCAAAAATTAATGAAGAAAATTTTATATTTTGTTTCTGTTATTACCCGCTGTTATCTTTATCAAAATGTTGGAAGGCAGTGTAAAGATGTTCTTCTCTATCCATTCTGTTCATATGCATTGTTGCTGTGATGAATTCGTCATAGTCTATTATCCCATTGCCATCTGCATCAGCCTGTTTATGGAGGAAAATAGAAAAAAACAGATAAAACATGAGCGGAGTCTGATGAAAGAGAAAAGAATTCAGAAATTTGCAGGACTTTATCTTAGTAGAAGTGATATTTTGATCCTTACAGCTTCCATCAGTTGTTTAGCTTCATATTCAGACAACTTTGTCCCCTGCTTGGCAAGTCCTTGTTTCAGCTCTTCAAGTGTTATAGTACCACTGTTGTCGGTGTCCATGCCCTTAAACATTTCCTTCAATCCCATGATTTCTTCCTCTGACAGACAGCCAGCAATGACCTAATCCCATTTTGTAAAGAGGGAAAGATAAGCGCTAGTTCATGCAATACCGAATATTATTCACTGCACTAAATTACTATAAATGAACTATTTGAACACTAATATGAAATTAAAGAAATCATTCAATTTGATCACATGTTTAATTTCTTTCAAAATGGTGAAGTTTTTTAGTACCCTTAGAGCAACTTTCTTGAAGTTATTCATTGCTTTGAATTGTTTGAGCCTACTCAACACTGCATTGTCAAGAGGAGTATCAGGAGCTTCTCCATCCTCCTTAATCCATGGATGGCCTAATGAAAAACAAACACACTGTATCATAAACTAATTCAATAGTTGCTGATGGGTGATATATATCCACACATCATTACAAACCGAATGTCTTGTGAAATTATTACTGCATATAATTTGAAGATGGTAGAGCTAAAGCGTACTTACCGAGAACCTGGATGGCTGTCATCCTTTGCTTGGGGTCTGAAGTTAGCATCTTCCGAACAAGATCTTTTGCTTGAGGTGAAATTGAAGGCCAGGGATCACTAGTAAAATCAATATGGCCACGTAGGATTGCATTGAATATCCCGTGTTCCGATTCTGACAAATTAACAAATAATGTTTTTTTAGCTAGCATAAAAAATCTCATAATAATGATGAATCTAAGTAAAAGAACAAAAAATATCTCTAAAATAAATCTAAAGAAATTATACTTAAAAAAAACTTTAAAAACATCAATCAACTTAAGCTAAGCTCGAGTAAGTAACCAAGTCTATGCTCTCTACATTGACGCTATATAATGCACTGGCCGCATAATTAATGTATTCTAGTGGCCGTACGCCTAGTTGACATTGGGCATGCATCCTTTGCTTGAGCCTACTGTATTTGGATTTAAATAGTGTGTTTAAATATACTTTTATTTTTAATACAGTTGAACACCTTACTCGAGCTCAATACTTACTAAAGCTCAATACTTACTCAAAAGTTTATCCCAGATATTACATATATCCTTTAATATTTTATAATGATTCAATATGTATTATTTTAAATAAAATATAATTTAAAATATTATAAAAATAAAATTAACTCAATATTTTCCTCTTCACAAAATAAACTCATGATTTATATAAGTATATGAGATCTTCAGCTCACAATCTTCTTATTTTATATTACATATATGTTTTTAGAGCATTTTTTTATAATATTGTTGCACTTTTTTTCTATAAAATTATTTACTTTATAATCAGAGAATCTCCAGCTTCTTAAAAAAAATCTTTTAAAGGTATTAATTACAAACTATTTTAATTTATCAAGTATCAATTATAAATTATTAATCATTTTGGTTAGAAGAAATGAATAAAATTGTTAAGATTAATCAATTAATTAATTGATTACACAACTTAAAATTTTTATTTCCAAACTATTTGAATATTTATTTGAAACATCTTGGGATGGTATCCATGATTAAAAGCGAAAAACGGAAAAGCATGATTTACCTGCCCAAAAAGGAGGAACACCACTTAGAAGAATAAACAACATGACCCCAACACTCCATACATCAGCTTCTGGCCCGTACCTCCTCTTCAAGACTTCAGGTGCAATGTAATATGCACTTCCAACAATGTCTTTGAATACTTCTCCTGCTAGAAAGAAAAAAAACCGTTGTTATTACATGCACCAATGACATGCTTGCTTTTTGTCATGCCTTCCTTCATGGTTGGATACACGATAAAATGAGGAAAAAAAAGAGGTAAAATGAACAGGATTGCAACCTGACTTGTAGAACACAGAAAGGCCAAAATCAGTGGCCTTGAGCGGGGAGTTCTCTTGTTTGTTGAGCAGAAGGAAATTTTCTGGCTTGAGATCCCTATGGATAACTCCCATAGAATGGCAGGTGTGGATAATTTGAACAATGGTCCTAAGCAAAGAGGCTGCAGCACGCTCTGTATAATGACCTTTGGCAATAATGCGATCAAAGAGCTCTCCTCCAGCACATAACTCCATCACCAAATGAACCGAATGTTTATCCTCATAGGCTCCCTTGAGTTCCACAATATTAGGCTGACCCGTCAAATGGTGCATAATTTGAACCTCCCTCCTAACATCCTCCACATCCTCCTTATTAACAAGCTTTCTCTTGGCTATTGTTTTGCACGCGAATTGCTCGCCTGTAACCTTGTTAGTGCACAAATGTGTGATACCGAATTGTCCCCTCCCGAGTTCTTTTCCAATGCTGTAAATGGATTTTACATCTTCCATCGGACGGCCTAAGACAGGTCCAATAGGGGCAACCTTGGCAGGCTTAGGTGAAGCTCCTGGAGGGGGTGAAGGAGGAGCAGTCCTAGGCGGGGTGGTGGAGGGAGCATCTGTCCGACCATTGGTGGGATTAGCACCCTCGGCGTTTTCTTCCTTATTAGTTGAGGCATCCTGGGCACCACCTCTGGAGCAGCAGTTGCCCATTGTGGAAGGGAAACAAATAATGAACGGTGGCAATGGTGGTGCTGGTGATGGATTAAGGAGAAAGTTCCTTAATCTTTTTGATGGTGGAAAGGAGAGATGAGATAATTAGAAAGATTCATAAAAATGTAAGGGGGAAAAAGAGTGGAAACAGGTTGGATTTCGGTGCAAGGACAGAATGAGGATCGACAGTGAGGGATTTTAGGGTATGGCGTGTGCCAAGTGTGTTGGAAGAGTCTATTTTTGGTACGTGTTTTGAAAATAGTGGGAAACAAATACTTCAAGACCAAGGCTGGCTGAGAGAATTTCCCGGAAAAATTAAATAACCGTTTAAATTTAAGGTAGTAATCCCTATTAGAAAGATATTAATAGACTACACTACATAGCTATTGTCAGAGTTGGCGCTGCAGCTAAATGCTAAGACAGAGACACCTCTATACTTACCCACGATGCATGAGAGTAGATTGTCGGATCTTTTTATGCGCCGAGAGATTGCAAACTTATCAGCTGTTCTTCGCTGTGCTGTCACGGGTGTTTCAAGGATTGCCCCAGCCTCGTACAAAGAAGAACACTTCTTTGACAGATAATTTTCACTAGGGTCATATGCAACATAAAAATCAGATTGTTTTTCTTCAACCAGACATGATTCTTCGTTCAATATGGATTGCTGTAGAATCTTTGATCCACGCAATACTAGAAAAAATTTGCTTCTTGAATACTTACCCAAAGAATAATAACAATATTTTGAACCAAATACAAACGATGTAAAACCATGAATGGACAAAAATATAAAATAAATTGAAGGGCATCTCAGTCATCTGCAAAACTTAGTATCAGAAGGGAAAAAAACGGCTGCTAAAGTAGGAGAGCAAAATGCAAAAAAAATAAAATAAAAATCATACAGTTCATCATGTTCTTGAACATCAATCAATTGAGCTTCTTCAACAAACATAGGATCTTGCTTTTTTACATGAAGTTTGTCTGCTTGGATTTCTCCAAGTAGAGATTCCTCCCTGGTAACATAAATTACAATTGAAATCAAACAAATTCATGGAGAAGTAAGAGCCGGTGCCAGCTCTGCCTTCTCCTTGGTACAGAAACCAAATGAAATAGGATTCCCGGGCATACCCTTCAGAAAGAACTTGCAACAAATGCCGCCCAAATTTAGTTTTAAAGGGACGATGAAAGCAGCTTCCTCAAATTCTGGCACCTGGGACATTCGAGCATTAAATCATCAACATCGTTGGTGAGTGCAGTATCTTAGCGTCTCAAGAGTGAGAGTCATGCCCATCCACCCACCTACAGTTAAAACTGGTGGAAATTATCAAATTCAGTGGGAAGTCATTGCTCTCAAAGGCTCCTTTTACTCAAAGACTTAAGACTCATAAATGGCAACTGCTTAAACAAAGAAAACCTCAACTCCCAAGGGTACCGGGACTTGTTCGCCAAATTGCAGATGAGGCCAGCTGTGATACATCTACTAAACATTTTTGATACCATGCTCCTTCCTTCCTAGCGGGAAAGGGAACAGCAATGTAACTAAAAACACCATATATAATTCTGTAAACCATTTGTTCCCTTGCGAACCACCTATTAATGAGATATGAAATCCCGACCAGGAGTCACGAAGGTTGTGTAACTAGTATTTTACAAATGAAAAAATAATTTAGAGTTAAAATGTTTTTAATATTTGGCAGCTCCAAAGATGGTGGTGATGTTGAGATAGTTGTTGTTAATGAAACGATGACGATGGTTAAAAAAACATATTAATAATGATTGTGATATAGTAGTGATGATTCAGATAATATAATGATATTAATTATAAGTGGATTAGTAAAATATTTTATGTAATTTTATAATTTCAAATATTTTTTAGTAAATCAACTAGGTTTGAAGATTAATTGTAAAATATTTTTTATTAATTTTTTTTTCTAAATGTAGAAAACAAATGCATTGTATAAAATACTTTTAAGAAATAAACACCAAAAAAAAATTAAAGAATATTTTTATGTAAAATATTTTATACAAAAGTGACCCTAAAAATACCATACTTCCGTTAAACCATACGGTCAATGCAACGGAAGCGAGGAGATCGAGAAGGGAGTGGAATAAGAAACAGTGATTACTATATGTGTCCATGAAAAAGGCCCATGATCACGGGCTGTGGCCCAATTTAGGGGCCTCGTTTGATATTTCATCTCCACGAGCCCAAACCCATGGGTCAACTCCATGAGCATGAATTCCATCGTCTTGCTTTGAAGAATGATGATAGATTAATTTGCACACCATTTTATATTAAATGATATTTGTGCGGAGCTCACCGTCATTGCTTTCTCCAGCTAGACCCTGTCACAAGACATGTTGCGGTTAATGATAGGGAGATTGAAGATCTCTGTGGATTGCAAGCCAAGCTGATTACGGGACATTTTTTTGCAAAATTAGCAAGGCTTTAACTTCGCTTACACTACATAATCAAGTAATCAGAGTTTCTACGAGCCTGTCTTCCTCTGTAGCCAGAACTCATCATTCTCCTGCACACTTCACTTGTGAGGAAAATTGCTAGTAAGAGTACATTCTCTTGTGTGTGAAAGACATTGATTCATTATTCTTTTTTTACTTGACTTTTGGAAGAGTGGAATTATGAAAAATATTAATTTAATATCTTTTTTTAAAAAAAATATTTTAAAAATTCATCTAACGGAGTATTCAGAACACCTTACATGTATTATAATATATATATATTGAAATTTAATATGCAGAGACAGAATTTCCTGCTAGAATCGCATTTTACACCAAGGTAAGGTTAAAGAGTAATCTAATAATATTCTTTATCTTCTTTAAACCTTATTTGGTACATTTTTAAAGAGTGGATAAAAATTTAAGAGGTTGATGCCTGTTCCCAGAAGGAGGTTAAGTATTATCCTAGGTGGAAATGGGGGAGTTTTTTTTTTTGTGAGGGAGAATTGATAACATCTGTGCATTTTGTTGTTAATATTCAAATTCATTTAATTGTTTTGATTTTTGTTTCTATAGACCCCGGGAATATATATTTCATATTTTTATTATATTTAATTTAAGTACTGATTTAAAACTTATTTAGTCTTTACTTGTATGCATAATTAAACAATTTTTTTTTTTTTAAGATGCAGTTTCAAACTAATTCCAAACAAGACCTAGTCTATAAGCAGCGAAAAAAAAGAATAAAATCAACCTGGTTGTTAGTTGGATTTGCTTTGTACACATTGAATTTTTGAACCAAGATTATGATAACTAAACCACTGGAATCCAATTCTGATCTTGACTAGTTCTGTTAGTTTTATTTTATTTTTTGGAGAAACAAGAACTCAACCGTAGCTTGCAAAAATTTCAAAGACGGTAGGGACCCCATGGATGAAATTTCTTCCAAGACCTGAACTGCAGACGCGTGTAAAAGTATAACATATAAAAGTCAAGATCAAATCCGTTTTCTCAGTCAATCTCCTCTCTCTCTCACCTGCGATTTCCTTCCCTTTCCGCTCCTTCATCTGGAAAAAACTCCCACTTCAAAGTCTCCTCCTCCCTTCTCCTTTTATAATTGAAGTTTTTGAAAAAACTACTCTGACAAACCAACAACGGCAATGGCCGATACCAGAAGCCGTAACGCCAAAAAGATTCCTATACCGAAATGCCCAATCTGCCAAACAGTTTACAACGATCACTCTCACACGCCTCTGCTTCTCCAGTGCGGCCACTCTTTCTGTCTCAATTGTCTCTCTCGCCTCCTCCTCTCTTCCTCACCTTGTAAACCATCACAAAAATCCTCACTTACCTGTCCTAAATGCCGCCACGTCTCCCCTCTCGGCAACTCCCTCCTCTTCCTCCCTAAAAACTTCTCTCTCCTCTCTTCCCTCCTTCCCTCCTCCTCCGCCTCCGAATCCGAGTCCGACTCCTCCGACGACGAGAGCGATGTCAATCCTCGTCGATTTCATTGTTCTACAACAAGCGGCGCCGGATTGGCTGGGACTTTGTGTAGAGATCATGAATTGAGGATTGTGAAGGGGATTAGTGAGGTGAAGTGGAGTGGTTTGTTGGTGAAGGGGAAGGAGTGTAAGCATAAGGTAGTTGTGAGGAGAGTTAGGGTTGATGACATGGCCGATGGTAACTTGGTGGAGAAGGAGCTGGATGATTTGAGGAGGAAAGTTGTGTGGTGTAGAAATGTGTGTGGATTTTATGGTGTAGTGAAGAGTGGAGAGGATGATTTGTGTGTTGTGATGGAAAAATGTTTTGGTTCTGTTAAGGAACAGATGGAAGGGAATGGCGGCCGCCT